ATAATACTTTTTCTAAGACATGAGCTGCTCAGATAGCCAAATTCCCGGAAATAAGTCACTTTTTTTAACCATCATGACAGCTCTCTAGGCCGTCCTGTAAATGCCGCGTCACGCAAAAGCCTAGAAATTCAAGCGCAGTGTATCACAAAACCAAGAAACCATTCGGAACGAAAATTTGTTTGAATATTAGTTTTCAGCTGCTCTTATACATCATTAAAGGAAAATCTCAAGAATATCAATACTTTTGTAGTTTGAATTTTAGTGACGTCAGGTGAAAACCAGCTATTACGTCATCGGAGATTTCACAACGGCTACGACTGATGGTGCAATAATACAGTTTGTGTTGATCAAGTGATGTGATGTCTAGAGAAACCAATGAATCATCAAGGATTGCTTTAAAATGTGCACTCCGTTGCGACTGTAGTGCTAAGAAAACAGTTAAATTTTAAAAGCGCGGTTATAAGATCTAACAGATCTTCTTGTTGCTCATAAAGTGTGCGGGTCCCCTGTGGCTGACCAAAAGTATCGCAGGCTCTGAGGTCTAGCGATACAGACGAAAACAAATCACTATTGTCGGCCACGGAGGTGTGAATACTGAAAAGCGGAACTCTGCAACGGTCTTTAACACTCTTCAATCCACGACTCTTGAGTATGGAGAACGCTTATGAACCACCATTAACTGCAGTAACGCTTGAAGATTTAACAGATTCACCTTCTAGTGGAGACATTGCTCTAAGCGAGGAGCAGCGTGGATTTCTTGACGCAGTTCGTGAAGGGCGCACACACGAGGTTCGTTCGTACGTGCAGGAGAAACATGTTGACTTAAACTGTGTCAACTTGTCGGGAGAAACCGCACTGCAGCTAGCAGTGAACAACGACCGCCATGATATCGCAAAATTTCTGCTTGAAAAGGGAGCCGAAGTCGGTACGACATTGCTACAAGCTGTTGCAAATGGGTCGGTCGACTGGGTGAAGGCATTGCTCGAGTTCGTGAGCGATACTGAGCCTCAAGGTGCAAGTTCAAGCAATGGTTCTCTTTCACAACAGACAAGCGAAGCTCAGTACAGAAAATTCATTTCGCCTTTGATGCTGGCTTCGCACAATGGTAACCGAGAAATAGTGGAGCTTTTGCTAAAGAGGGGATATAAGATTGAAGAACCGTCATTCCACAATAGATCTTGTGATGGCAGTGAATGCGAGAGCTTCGGAAAGCGATTGGGGACTTCGCTTTATCGTTTGCATAGCTACCGAGCGCTTGCAAGCCCTGTTTTCTTGTGCATGTCTTACTTACTCGAGAACTCCAGCGAGAAATCCGACGAAGAACGAGACATAAGATCATCGAAAGACCCAATCATCCGAGCGTTCTTTTTAAATCGGAAGTTAGAGAGTCTGGTGGAGACTGAGTATGAATTCAAGAACGATTACAAGAAGCTGTCGGATGGATGCGAGGAGTTCGCGGTTTCGCTTCTCGCAAAGTGCCGATCGATGGAAGAAATTGCTTGTGTGATGAATGTGCCAGGTATTGATCAGTTAGAGTACGTGGAGGTTAGAGGAGGAAAAGAGGCCCAAAAGTTGAGCGTGCTGAATTTAGCCATTGCAAATAGGAATGAAAAGGTAGGGTAAACTATTTTTAAAAAACTTAACCGCGCGAAATGTCCTGTGATTGATAGTGGCTTTTTAAAGAGCTACTCAAACAAGGTGAAGGCCTTTGTTAAAAAAAAAGGATGTTTTATTAGGAGAACTTTTAACAAAGATGTTTGTTAAATGGTTGCATCACCATGGTAACAAGATGCAAGCACCTCAGGGTGTTAACCGTCACTTTCTGCATGCCTAATGCCCCGTTTACAGACAGGTAAGGTAACCCTAGTGCTAGGGTGACCCTACCCAGCGGGTCAAAGATAGCCCGCATTTACAAGCGAAATGTTTCAGGTAGGGTTACCTTACTACCCAGGACAACTCTAGCTAGTCACGCTTTAGTTAACCTTGTAAATAATATGCACAATCGATAATAACTTTATTGCAAAACCTATTCTCACTTCAATTACGGGGTTTGCAATTCAGTTCCACTGAAATACTGTAATTTTAATTTCTAAGCTCAACTAAAATCCCAGACAGTTATTTTTCTTTAGTTTTGGATGAATTTGACAGCGAAACTATAAACAATTCTGCAATCAAATATTTTAGTGACAATAGTGCCAAACAATGCAATCATTTGGTCTCAAAAAGCTGTTATTCAAAATTTTTTCTATCCAAAGCAAAACTAATTAAATAAAACAAAATGTGAGTTAATACAATTTTTCTTAGGAAAAAAATAGTGTTTGCAACAGCAACCAGAGATTAGTGCTGACCTGATAGGTCACTTGGCTTTACATGCAGACTTCTATCCAACCATGACTGTTGTAAAGAGGTGTCTGTCTACCCATAAACAGTAGAATCATGGCTTTGAGTCTGCAACCCTAGAGCTGGACAAATACCTCTCATATCAGTCATGGTTCTACCTGACTTTACTCCAGTTGTAAATTGTAAGGTGCTTGTTAGGTGCTTGAAGGACTGTGGGAAGGATAACATTTTCTCATTTGAGAGGACTGGGGAAGAACATGCTCGTGGTATTTATTACACTGAACTGTGGCCATGATGTTCACTCCAGTTGCCTATTGACCTATAGCTAAATACATAAAACTCATATCTTTGGTAAATGCTGTTTTTCAAAGCAAGAAAGTGAATATTTGAAAAGTGTTTATGTCTGTTAAAAAAAATCCATTTTTTTGTTGTCACTGTCCAAAGAATGAACCTAAAAACTTGGAGTTGCATGTAAAACTTGTGTGGATTTTAAGATCACAACCTTGTATCCCTTCTATTCAATTTTGATGGAAGTTCATATTTCCGCTTCATTTTGTCAGTCATGGGATGCTTCCAGAGGAGGTCCCTCACCAATCCCACAAGTCTTTGCAAAATACCCATAGCTCCTTGTGCCAATGAAGTATATTATGCTACATTGCAGTTTCTGTTGTCACACATTGCCACTATACTCTACTAAGGGATAGACCATTATATTTTGAGGAGGTGGGCTTTGACAATTTTCGGGGGTGTGAAATTTTTTTTCTCACTGTTAGGTTGTGCATGACACTTTCTTTTGGGCAATAGCTTGTGCATGAAATTTTTTGAAACCAAACACAGGACCTGGATAGTAGAAAGCACCTGCTAGATTGTTTTTTTTTCGGTGGCTCTCCTTGCAAGAATTTTTTTCAGCTGTTTTTGTTGTGCAGGAACTTTTTTTGGAAATTGCCCAAAACCCTCCCCCGCTCCAAAAAAAAATAATGGTCCGTCCCTAAGCATGTGTAAGCGTTGCATGATGACCCATCGTGACGACACAAATAACAACCACAAAACGGATCACCGTCATCTGTATGCACAATCTGCAGTCACGTGTCCCCAGTGATGCTTTGTGCTCACAAACATACTCTGTTGTTTGTTCGCAGTTTGTAGCTCACCCCTACAGCCAGCTCATGTTGAACTCAGTTCTATACGACAGATTAGGAGGATGGGAAGATTCTGGCTTCCTGGCCAAGCTGATGTTGGGCTTGCTGTTGACAGTTTCGGGGCCATTATTAGCCCTATGTTATTTCCTCTTACCCAACAGCCGGATCAGCAAGCTCCTACAGAGACCAATCTTGAAGTTCACGAGTCACACGGGGTCATTCTGCGTGTTTCTTATGCTGCTCATTTTTTCTTCGGTTCAAGACAAATTTTATGATGTGCTTCAGTTTCAAATCTTCGGTAAGTACGTTTTCACTTACCTTTACCTCTGTCACTTTGTTGTTTTCTGTTACAAGCCAATTTCTTTTTGAGATGAATAGTATGTTCTTGCGTGAAAGTTTTCTCCCTCTTATCAAGTGCGTTTCGCTGCTTGCAGGCTCGCCAGAATTTGAAGTCGCAACGTTTTCTGGTTGCCATAACAACAAACTAAAAAGTTGAGTCGTTAATGGAAATAAGACAAGATGCAGTCTAAATTGCGAACAGTCCGCGCTATTTTTCCCCTGAGATTTTTCCAGCGAGAAGCGACAAGGCATCCCTGGGTCCTGAGAAAACTAGAATTAGAAAATTGCCGCAATTAGCGAGCAGCAGGCGTATTTAAATACGAAATGACGAAATGGCACTACGGTTAGCCTAAATTGTCTTAACAATCCTTACCAATTTGATATGCAAACCAACCTTAAAATTTCCACACAAAAAAATCTAAGACCTTTTTCAATTAAACCAATCTTCAGCTGTCGTTTAAAGGACGGAAAGGGGAGGAGGGATGGGATGGGGCAGAACAAAAAACACGTGTTACTTTAAAAGCGCAAGTTTACAAACGAAAGTCAAGAATTGCAATAACGTAACAAATAAATCAGTTTATTTAAGCGTCATGGTATTTAGCACCCAATAAATGACGAAACAGATATGGTAAATAGAAATGAAAGCTTGTCTAAGATCCCAACTGGTTGGAGTCTGACCAGCTGGCTATTTACAAGACGTGGAGGAGTTGAATTCGGGACCACCGAACACAAATCCATCTAGTGGTAGGGAAAACGATTAGAACCCGGCAACCCGGGTGAAACATCCAGCGTCTTAACTACTAGGCCACGCCGCCTCAACGTACAGCAGGACTGAGATAACAAACGGAACTTCCCTCCTTTCGGTTTGGGAAATTACATACGTAAAATTGTTTCACCGGGGTATAAGTCTGTGTGTAAATTAATAAAGTGTGCCGCCATTCTTCGTGGAATTTGATGCTGTTTTACTTGGTAGATGTCCTTATAGCGCTGTGGATTGCTGGTTTGCTGTTCCAAGAGGCAAAAGAAGCTTTCCGTCAGGGTAAAGAGCGCTACTTTTCGCAATACTGGAACTTCGTCACGCTTTTCATGCTGGGAATGTTTGTCATCTCTGGACTCTTCTGGCTTGCTGGATTTTTCCTGTCTGTGGAGGGCAAGGGGACCTCTGCAATACCTGTCCGTGAAGCATTCGGTATTAGTGCGAAAGAGTCCGCCTACCGCCTCATTCTTTTGTCCAATGCGTTCTTTTCCATCGGTTTGGTCTTGAGCTTCATCAGTGCGTCCAATTCATTCCAAGTGAACTCTGTTCTGGGTCCGCTGCAGCTGTCACTTGTGAAGATGTTTCGGGATATTGCGAAGTTTCTGTTCTTGTTTTTGCTGCTGTTTCTTGCGTTCGGTTGGGCGGAGAGGAAAGTGTACTCTCGGTATGTTCAAGCCAGGGAAGTCTTTATTGGGAATACGACTGAACACGAATTTGCCCAGTAAGTACTTCATCAACAGATATTTCCTACCCTGATATTAGTAATAATTCACAAATAACCCTGTCGCAAAGTTAATTCAAATGACTCGCATGGATTGGGGTGCCACATGCATGTGTTGTCAAGATGACTTGATATTGGCCAAGTTCCTTTCTTTTGTACGTTTATGGACAGAAAGGGAGTGGAGATCCATAAACACGCAAGAAGCAACGAGGCCAATATCCGGCCATCTTGACCGAACAAACCGGGTCT